TTTCTCGAGTACTTTAGCCCTTCTTCGACCAGATACTCAAACGTCAGTACACTGTGATCCCTCATTCCTACTGGGGCCTCGAAGTATATTTCCCTTATGTTGGAGTCATTCAGAGTGAAGACTAGGTCGAGTCTCGCTGGTTCATCGTTTCCTCTCATTATAGTGGGTTCCCTGACATGTTGGCTTAGAAAGTTTCTTGTCGCCACCTCCATTAGTTTTGCTCTCCATGTAACCTCTCCTCCGTACGGTTCCTTATTCTCCCAGTCTATCCTTCCGTGATTGAAGTCCCCCATGATGAGCAGATAGGATCAATTTCTACAGGCAGCAGAGGCTGCCCTGTCAATTATGTTATTAACTGCCATGTTGTTTCTGTCGTACTCTTGCCTGGGTCTTCTGTCATTTGGTGGCGGGTTATATATCACTGCTACTACTACTCTTGGTCCTCCCATCGTCATGGTGCCTGTTACGTAGTCTCTGAACCCTTCACAGCTTGGGATAACCATCTCCTTGAAACTCCATTACTTTCTCATGAGTAGGAAAGCTCCGCCGGATCGTGTGTGTGTGTATTCACCTAGTTGTATTTACCTAGTTGTGTTTGCGGGGGTTGAGCTCTGGCTCTTTGGTCCCGCCTCTCAACCGTCAATCAACAGGTGTACAGGTTCCTGAGCCCTTGTGTGTGTGTGTGTGTTTACTAGTTGTTTACTAGTTGTGTTTTTACGGGGGTTGAGCTTTGCTCTTTCGGCCCGCCTCTCAACTGTCAATCAACTGTTTACTAACTACTTTTTTTTTCCCCACAACACACACACACACCCCAGGAAGCAGCCCGTGACAGCTGACTAACTCCCAGGTACCTATTTACTGCTAGGTAACAGGGGCATTCAGAATGAAAGAAACTTTGCCCATTTGTTTCTGCCTCGTGCGGGAATCGAACCCGCGCCACAGAATTACGAATCCTGCGCGCTATCCACCAGGCTACGAGGCCCCCATGTGTGTGTGTGTATGTATGTGGGAGTGGAGGAGAGATATGAGTGTGTCGTTAGGCCAGTCCGGGAGGTCAGCTCCAGTGATCCAGTTTTAAGAAAGTTCATCACCTAAGTCACCCAACACACCTCACGGGCGATTTTAATGAAGTCTGAAATATTAGTTATGTTATCAGTAGACTTGTTAAGCAATTTCAGGTCGTTAAATAAGTTTTCTGGGAGAGGGAAGGGTTGTTGGGAGAGATAAGTGAGAGGTAGAGAGAGAAAGAGAGAGAGAGAGATAAGAGGGAGAGAGATATGAGAGAGAGGGAGAGAGGAGAGCGGGAGAGAGGATGAATGACGAGAGGGGGGGGTGGAGAGACCTGGCTGCTGAACGATATACCTTCTCAAGTGTATATATATCGATATTCTTATCAAATTGTGTTTGGAGTATTAAGTAAGGAGGGGGAGGGGGAAGTGACCTCTGCTCCTGGGCTCCGCCTTACAACAGACAACGTGTCTACACCTCCCCGAGCCATAAGGGACTTGATATAAACAACACTGAAGGTATGAAATTGTACTTCCTCCCCCAGTTCGCTGTTCATCGCACTTTATTTGTTCACTTACACATACAAATTATTTTGGCTCTCATTTTGGCTCCTAGAGGTACTAGGTTTCCCTGGTGCCCGTTGTCTAATATACCACTATACCATTAGTGTGATCATCCGTCTTTGTATGTTATGTCAATTAATTGGAGAATTTTGCATGTGACAATCATGGTACTCCATAACTTGTGTCTCCTAGCGACGTGAGATTTAGTTCGTTTCATTATTTCCTCTTAAATCGCACCTCTCGGCTCCGGTACTAGTCTAAATACATACATTGGACATTCTTTGGCTGCCTTTTGTGTTTGAGGTTGATGGCACACATTCACGTTGATGGCACCTAGAATACCTCTACAGTAGACCGTACACGTGGTCATGATTGCTTCCTCATTCTAATTTCTAATGGCAGTTCTTATCTTGGTCAACCTTTCATATCCCTCTGATGATATCCGCTTGGTGTGGGCCTCAGTTGTCCACTCTCGTATATTCACCTAGTTGTATTAACCTAGTTGTGCTTGCGGGGGTTGAGCTCTGCTCTTTCGGCCCGCCTCTCAACTGTCAATCAACTGTTTCTACTACTACTATTTTTTTCCCACACCACACACACACCCAGGAAGCTGCCCGTGACAGCAGACTAACTCCCAGGTACCTATTTACTGCTAGGTAACAGGGGCATAGGGTGAAAGAATCTCTGCCCATCGTTTCTCGATGGCGCCCGGGATCGAACCCGGGACCACAGGATCACGTGTACAGCGTGCTGTCCGCTCGGCCACCGGCTTCCTTGGAGCCGAGTGAGTGAGTGAGTGTATGTATGTATGTATGTATGTATGTATGTGTGTGTGTGTGTGTGTGTGTGTGTGTGTGTGTGTGTGTGTGTGTGTGTGTGTGTGTGTGTGTGTGTGTGTGTGTGTGTGTGTGTGTTTCCTGCAGCAAAGCCAGCCACGGTAAGCAGTAAATACGTGTCAGGCATACTGACACTGCCAGGTAAGCAATAAATAGGTACCCGGGAGTTAGACAGCTGCTACGGGCTGCTTATTGGGGGGGGGGTGTAACAAAAAGGAGGCCTGGTCGAGGACCGGGCCGCGGGGACGCTACGCCCCGAAATCATCTCAAGATAACGGTGTCAGGCGTCCATGCCAGCCAGGGTGTATATATCAAATGGTATATCCCTTAGAAATTTCTCATCTCATAATTCCCCTTTCGGTACGCCAGCCCTTTGTTTCCTAGTTCTTTTTGGGGGAGATAAATCTTAGCTC